CTAACACACATATTCTATCTAATAAAATCTTACATACACATCTACAAGCTAGGTAGCATGTCACAGGAGGCAGAACGATGATCTCCATTATAAGCTGACACAGAAGAGAAAGCCTCAGGAATACACAGGGCAAGCAGGCATTAAAGTAAGATCATCCGTTAAAATGAATTTTTGAAGTAGTAGAAGAGTAGTACAAAATTCCATCTGTTAGCAGTGACATTATAATACACATTTGCAGTGAGGTTTCCTCATTACTATACTGCAGTTATGATCTTTTAAAGCTTTTGAGTTAATTTGTTCTTAAACTATGAATTTATAAAGGAAACTAATTAAAAACCCCCCGATAGATTCATATAGCATGAAGCAATCACTTAGACGTATGGTCTCAAGCACAAAGCTGACCTTTGTATTTGTCTTTTCAAAGAAAAGAAGAAAGGGGAGAGTACAAGAACAGGGTGAGCTGGAACTGCTAGAGGCTGAAGACATTCTACAAAGGCAACTCTCACACGGAGTTCTGGCCACAGCACTAAAACCCAAGAAATTTTATAAATTAGGTGGCTTTTTTGTTGTTGTTTTACACTTTTAAAAGCTCTTTCTCAAAGACTCCTTAAGAGAGGTTATTATAATTGGTGGATTTTTTTCCATGTTTTCATCTTGTGTTTCTCATGCCATTTTCAATAATTAATTTGAAAGACCAGTCAGCATCTCTGTCTGCAACTTATACAAGAGTTTTCTCTTCATGCTACTAGATAACATGCATACGGCACAGCTGGCAGTCTTATGTTTCACAGCAGTCAAGTCTTCATTATATCTACTACAAAGGAAGTAGGGAAGATAACGCGACATTAAGCCCCCCTCTTGATTTTTAGGCAACATACTGATGTCTGTAAAAATCCTACCCTGTTATAGATGAAGGAAGGAACTATAATGGGGAACAGTATGTACCAAAGTTCAAAATACAAAAAGACAAATAATAAAACAAAGTTCATATTGTCCAGTAGAAAGAACCAAGACACAATGTAATCACAAGGAATTAATGAGGTGTAAAACATTTAAGTGACCCAAACAAAGTGATGAGTCACTGAGTTTCAGTGTTTCAACAGTTTCATAGTTTTTCAGCAAGAAAGTAATCATTTTGGTGGATTCAATACATAAATTTGCAATAAACATGAAGACAGATGGACTACGTATAAACAGCCAAAAAACCCTAGTCATACACGTCTTTAATATGGCTTGGGAGGACCCTTAATACTCTGTGTGCTGACTTTGAATTCATCCAACAAACATGCTTAGTCTTATGAATAGGTATTTTAGGGTACTGTTGACAAATCTGTTGTATTTAAACAGCATTCTGATTATCAACACTCTTGAGCAAGCAAACTTAATTTGCATTTCTTTGGTTTCACAGTTTCATTTTAAGAGAAAGATTGCATGTTTGTGTGTCAAAGTAAATTATCCATAGAAAAAAAATTTCACTGGTAAAATACAGAAGCTGTACAAAGTCACCTGGCTCGCCAGATATATACAGCTTTTCAGAGTACTTCTGAATTCTCTTTCTACTTTGTACTGAAGGAAAAACTGCTCCCTTGCTTTTGTTCCTTGGTGTAGCAGATGGTCAGGGAGGACAGAGAAAGGTAAGGGAACACAATACAAATATTGCAGACCATTGCACAGACAGAGCAAGAAAGAGAAAACCAGATATTCTTCATCAGATACTCATCAGTATTTTATGAGCAGGTAAGACTTCTAACTATTTCATCTTCCAGAGATCTTTCCACAGTGAACCCAGAAGCAGCTACTTACAGCGTGGGCCAGGACTGATCTAACACATGTTGGGAAGGCATTCATCACAGCTGTGACAGGTATGGAAAAGTTTTAGTGGGTAATACATAGGTATGAGCTTAACACTTCATATGTTTTGCTGTAATTATCTACCGCTATATTGCCTGGCATCTGAAACTAACTAGCAAACATGGCAGGTAACATACAAGAAGTGTTTGGGGTTGGCAGATGTGAAATAGCCTTAATTTCAGTTTTCAGTGAGTAAATCACACTATTAAGCCTATGTCCTTTAGCCAAACTTGTAAACTTTAAAACAGTTAAAGCCAGGGTCTTTTTGATGGGATGTTTTTCATTAACCATCTGTGAGTTGCATTAATTATAGTGCTGCCCTTCAAAGCTACAAGTGAAAGGTGTATCAAATCTATGGTTTCGCCTGGGATTCATGAGATCAGTAATGAAGTTACTATATTTACCCTTTTTTATAAAATATATATTAGCTTTCTTTTAAGTCCTGCAATTTCCTTGCTTTTCCAAAATACCTGAGTTAAGAGTATGGGAGCATAGAAAAAGGAATAGTGAACAGTTTAATTTCAGTGGCACTGTTGAGATTTTTTGGAGCAAGCTGTACTCCACAAAGTAGGATAAACAAATTCCTCTTTTTGGTAGCTTATATAAGCATAGTAACAAAAACACAGGCTAGCAAATTGGTTACAGATGTCATTAGATGAGAAGGGTGCCATAAAAGTTCCACATAAAAAAAACCCCAAAAAACTTCAAAAAAGTTATATAAAAGTCTTCTTTAGAGGGAAAAATATTCTTTCTTGCCTCTGTCTTCTCCTAAGAAGCTTGAGGAAGGAGTCAAAATTATTTCAGTTATTAGATGAAGGATTTGGAGAAGGCTGAGGTTCTGAATGACTTCTTTGCCTCGGTCTTCTCTAGCAAAGGCTCTGACTGTACCACCCAAGTCTTGGAAGGCAGAAGCAGGGACTGTGAGAATGAACACCTTGGGCCCACTGTACGACAGGAATTGGTTCGAGACCATCTTAAAAATCTGAATGTACACAAGTCCATAGGACCTGATGAAATCCATCCACGGGTCCTGAAGGAGCTGGCGAATGAAGTTGCTATGCTGCTGGCCATCATATCTAAAAAATCACTGCAGTCAGGTGAAGTTCCTGATGACTGGAAAAAGGGAAATATAACCCCCATTTTCAAGAAAGGGAAAATGGATGAACCAGGGAATTACAGACCAGTCAGTCTCACCTCTGTGCCTGGCAAAATCTTGGAGCAGATTCTCCTGGAAGGCATGCTAAGGCACATGAAAATCAACAAGGTGCTTGGTGACAGCCAGCAGGGCTTCACTGAGGGGAAATCCTGCCTGACCAATTTGGTGGCCTTTTATGACAGGGCTACAGAACTGATGGACAGGGGTAGAGCAGTTGATGTCATCTACCCGGACTTGTGTAAAGCGTTCAACACCATCCCACATGACATTGTCTCTAAATTGGAGAGACATCAATTTGATGAATGGATAAAGAACTGGCTGGATGGTCGCACACGAAGAGTTGTGGTCAATGGCTCAATGTCCAGCTGGAGACCAGTAATGAGTGGTGACCCTCAGGGATAGGTGCTGGGACTGGTCTTGTTTGACATCTTCATCGCTGACATGGACAGTGGGATTTAGAGTGCCCTCAGCAAGTTTGCCGATGACACCAAGCTGTGCGGTTCGGTTGATACAGTGGAGGGAAGGAATGCCATTCAGAGGGACCCTGACACACTTGTGAGGTGGGCTGATGCCAACCTCATGAAGTTTAACCATGACAAGTGCAAGGTCCTACACCTGGGTCGGAGCAATCCCTGGCACAGCTACAGCCTGGGCAGAGAAGAGATTCAGAGCAGCCCTGCGGAGAAGGACTTGGGGGTGCTGGTCGATGAGAAAATGAACATGAGCCGGCAGTGTGCGCTTGCAGCCCAGAAAGCCAACTGTATCCTGGGCTGCATCAAAAGGAGTGTGACCAGCAGGTCAAAGGAGGTGATCCTGCCCCTCTACTCTGCTCTCATGAGACCTCACCTGGAGTACTGTGTGCAGTTCTGGTGTCCTCAACATAAAAAGGACATGGAACTGTTGGAACAAGTCCAGAGGAGGACCACAAGAATGATCAGGGGACTGGAGCACCTCCCACATGAAGATCAGCTGAGAAAGTTGGGGCTGTTCAGCCTGGAGAAGAGAAGGCTGCGTGGAGACCTCATAGCAGCCTTCCAGTATCTGAAGGGGGCCTATAGTGATGCTGGGGATGGACTCTTCATTAGGGACTGTAGTGATAGGACAAGGGGTAATGGGTTAAAACTTAAACAGGGGAAGTTTAGATTGGATATAAGGAGGAAATTATTTCCTGTTAGGGTGGTGAAGCACTGGAATAGGTTGCCCAGGGAAGCTGTGAATGCTCCATCCCTGGCAGTGTTCAAGGCCAGGCTGGACGAGGCCTTGGGTGATATGGTTTAGTGTGAGGTGTCCCTGCCCATGGCAGGGGGGTTGGAACTTGATGATCTTAAGGTCCTTTCCAACCCGAACGATTCTTTGAAGTATCTTGTCAGAAAGATACTTCACATAGCAAAGACCACAAATGACGAATTGATGATCTACTTTCTGTCTGAAATGGGTTATATGAAGTAAGGCAACTTTAGCTCCCTCAAAGCACCTAGCAGAATGTTGAGACAAACCTCACATGTATACGTACATACTTTTTTTTCTGCTAAAGACTGATGAGAAAGCACCAAGTACATCCTCTTCCAAGCAGCTGTGGAAAAAGAAATTACTTGCCAAAACAAGTATTTTCATCAGAAGGCGAGAGCTAAGCCATATTTTCTGAGACACCTTGCTGGACCTGCTCCAGTAAATAAAAGGGCTATAGTGTTGCTCAGTGCAGGTAGAAGAGTAGCATCTGTCATTTTGAGATGAGAAGAAACTAAAAAATAACCTGAAAAAAAACCCCAAAACCAAACAGCAAAACATGCCCACCAGTGAGACCAAAAAAGAGATCCTGGTTATGTTAAAGTTGAATGTTTCACAAGTACTGACTATGCAGATTTGTCAGGACTGTCAGAAAGAGACCTAGGCATTCCCATTCTCTGCATCACCATTCCAATTTCCATAGAAAGGATGTGTACTTGCACACAGTCCAAGTAGGCGTGGTGCAGATGTTCCAAGTACCCATGATGAGGCACTCAGCTTGGCACTTTAGAGCTTATTCCAGTCTTTGTTTATTCCTCCTGTTTTCAAAGAGGAAAGGATTTTCAGAGGACGACAAAGGATTCTTCAGGAGTAACTTGTTATTGTCAGACACAATTGTGTGCAGATTCCCCCAGTGAAACCAAGCAAATGAGTACAAAAGCTGGAATGAGTTTTCATTATGATCTGCATGAAGCTCACTAAGCAATCAGGATGGAGTGAGACTGAGAAAGTGACCTATGTATTGTTCAAAACCGAACCAAAGCAGAAAAGCAGTTGAAGGAAGATGACTTGAATTATACTTGTGAACACTTATTCCTTTCAGTGGCCAGGCACACCAGCATTCAGCATGGCCTTGCATGCAAACTTATTTATAGAAGCACAAGGATACTCACTTCATTTATGTCTCACCATCAGATGTCATTCATGACATCTTAAATAATCAACAATTCTGGTCAAATAGGTTTTAAACCACACTCAAGGTTAGGAGATGAGACCCTCTTCACAAGCAGCTGATTATAGGGAGGTACATAACAGCCACCTCAACATTTTTTCTTTATCCTCAACCAGGTTCCTTTCGATCTCTTTTTATATACTTGATCACTTGTAAACTGAAGACCTCTGAATCAATGCTTTCAGTAGCTGAAAGGATTTAAAGAATCTTCTCTTCTGATTCCCATCTTACATGTTACCTTTCCACAATTAATGCCTCTTTCTTTAGGTTGCTTTTAGCTTTCAAAGCCTACTCCTGTAGGACAGAAATCCATATTCTTTACTATTTAACCCTTGTGAATCTTTTCATGACTCCCTAAACACCTTTTATTTGATGATACATCAGCTGAGTTGAATATAAACAGTTTCCATGCCAAGTTTAAGATTTTGGCATTAAATGAGCTGGCTAGTTGAGGCGGGAAGTAGGAACCTAAAAGAAAAGCAAAAGAAAGCAAAAACCCCAAGACAGAATCTTTTGTTCCTTAGTTTGTAAGAATAGAGAACAAAGAAGTTCTTACAAACTTTATGCCCAAACTGTAAGATAGAAGCACCTGACTACCACACAAATATACACATGCAGAAAAGAAAAAAGAGAGGAAAAGTTCAGAGTACAGATCATACCTACCTTTCCTTATGGTCACTCAAATTTTGCTTTACTAATCTTTATAAAAGGAACTACTTTTTCCCCCATATTGGTCTCACACTCATTAGTTCCAGAGATTTATTCAGAAGGATCTTCACTAGATCCACCTCCCATTCTTGTGACAGTTAACTCTTATTTATGTTATCATTTCCAACCTAAGCACATCTATGTCTTTACATATTCAAGAATCTCTTAAGACAGCTCTTGGTGAAAACAAAAGCCTAGTATTTTGGCCACTGTTAGTGAGACTCTTAATTACTTTTATAAATTAACACTACCATAGGGAGAATCAACAAAATTAAGATGCTAAATTATGACTTCCCTTGGATTTTCACATCACGTCTTAACAGAAAACAAACACTGTTGAAAGCCTCTAAACTGTTACTATGAAATCCATGATGCTCCCAATTATTTCTGCATATTTGCCTTCCTTGACAAGGCCTTCAAATGTGCTCAGAGAATAGAGATAAATTAGAACACTTCACTGGAACTACCCCTCTCTAAGCAGAGCAGGAATACTCCAGAAAGGGGGTGGAAAGCTGAAATTTTTTCAACAGAGAAAACTACAGATATGGTAAGTGTTCAAGAAGAATGTCACAGAAGCAACAGCAGTTGAAAGATCTCACAGGAAACCTTCCACCATTTTCATCACTTTAAACAGAAAAAAAAGAGACAAATTAACTGAAAACCTGGCCTGCCTCGACAGCAACCCCATCAAGGGAAAGACAGGTAAACTAAAAGGTTTCTAATAGAAGAGTTTATTTTTTTAAACAATATTCGTATTACCTACTGTAAAGTGGCACCTAACCCATACCAATTCCCAGACCAAGTTTTGGACGTGCTCAGGACAAGCTGATAAAAGCCAAAAGTGTACCAAAATCCTTGGCAACAGTTTAACTGTCATACATGAAACTGTTCTAGTGCTCAGGAGCACTCACAGGCAGTGTTTAACTTAAAAGAAGAGTGCAACTCTGATCCTACTGATACCTGTTCCATATAAACAAAATCTCCTCAAAAAAAAACCACCATACTTGTCACCAAAATTCAGACAAAATAGAATTGTGAAAGAAGACACTGAAAAGCAGCCCTGAGAGGAGAATATAATAGATCACTACAAAGTGCAAAGACACAGGCAACTGCTCCTCTCACAAAGAGCTGGATCAAAGAACTTACTTGCCAAAAGCATACTTAGACACCAAAACAAGGTGCACAGGTAGTGCCTGAGGCTCAAAAACCACAGTGTTCAGTTATTAGCTCAGATCACACACCCTGGAAAGCAGAAAAAAAATTAGCATGTTTTTGGTGCTTTTTCCTCCCACTGCATTATGAAATTAATGCAACATATGACTACAGGAAGATTGGCAGGCCTTTGGATACCAATCCCAGAACAATGCTAAAGTTTTATTCTTTCCAGAATTCCACCCTGGAGTTTGCTGAGGAAATGATAAATATTTGTTTAAGGTATGTAATCTGTTAGTCTCCAAAGAAATGAACAAGAGAGTAGTTAAGAACACATATTTATAAAATAGTGTACTACCAAGAGAGACCGAACTATAAACTCAGATTTTACTTACTGACTAAATTCAGCTAAATAAAATGTATTTGCAGAACTTGCAAAAGAATACCTGTGCTGGCTTAGCCAGTTCAAGAAGGCTAGAGGAAGACAGAACAAAAATGCTATCAAAGACTGAGCTTTGAGGATCTAGTAAGCATACAAAAAAACCCCACCATTTGCATAGCGTGTGTTGTACCCTGGAAACACTGCTTAAGAAGAACTGCAGTCTGTAATGGATGAATGGCCTTGAAAAATTGCTTCTATGAGGCACAAAAGCTATAAGAAAGAATTTTCTGCTTAGAAGGAAATGGCATGGTTCAGCTTGCTGCAGCAGTCACCAGGAATCAGTACCTTTTTCTGGAGATTAGCATAAATAACGCCTTGATCTGCAATCTTAACAGCCATACAACTGTGGGAAAACAAGGTTTAGTAACAGCTTTCAGCCCTTGCAAATGTTATCATTGAAAATGGGAGTGCTGTAGAGTGTTTTGAGGTCTTCCATGATGAAAGGTTCTTCATAAGTAATACATTTCCCCAGTATCTAAGAGGATAACAGAAACACATCCTGCTATTTGGTCTGTATAGCAATTGCATAAATATGCAAAGGATACAATTGAGAAGTATGCTCTCCTAGAGCGACAATTAGCTAATGCATCATACCATACAAAATTATCTTCATGCAGTTCCTTCTTCACATGCTAATGAAATCAGTCCCCATTATTAGCTTTTGATATATTAAAAGCCTACTGTTACATGAACACATAATGAATATTAAAGTATTCAGTGAGGAAGTGGTGCTCCATGCTTAAATTTCTTATACAGTATCTGTATTCTGCTGGGTGCATGGCTATCATGTTCATCTTCTATAAATACCCATTCCGACTTTATTAGTTCTGGAGATGCTCTGTGCACATGCTGGGGATGGGTGAAGACTTTGCACCTGGTTTTCATCATTTATCAGTGGGTTTACTTTTGAAAATTCAAGAGAATATTGCCATGGCCCCAGTCAGGCCCTAGGAGTACCACACTAGATATACGAAATTATACTCTAAAAGGACACATAGTGGTGGTGGCATCATTTTTGTACATTCTCACTCAAAGTGAATGACACTGTCATTATACAATTCCTCACTACCTTACATTATAGCTGCCACTCAACAGATCAACACCTGATCCCTCTGCAGGCAAAACACACATCATAACTTCCCCCCCCCAAAAGGCAAAAAAAAAGCTTTCAACAAGGCCTCTCACTATTCAGGATAACTTAGAGGACTCCTTATTCAGGATAAATATTCTGCTTTCAAAAGGTTTTTGTGTTTGTCTAAGACCTGAATGTAAACATTAGTAGCTTTTATATACACAAATACATGATAAAATGGGCTTCACTGACAAAAAGCTGTGGTTTCCTTAAGCTTTTAAGACATGCTATAATCCATTTTGAAAAGCTGTGTCTCTTTCAAGTCATACAGCTTCTATATTCATGCATACTTCATTCACATCTCTTAACACACTTTGACTCCATGAGACTTTATAAATAACAGTTACTTAAAATGCAGCAGTCTATATTTAGTTGATTGTTTGTTGTTGTTTTTAAAGAGTGTCACGTTATGCCTGCCTTTCAGAGTCTACATTTTTTTCCACATGCTCCAATTCTTATATGCATTAATAAATCCTGTTCTCTTATTTTTTGCCTGCCATGTTGGAGCTCACAAACAGTAGCCGAAATCTGTAAAGCTGCCATCATCCCACTAGTTTAAAAAAAGAGTAACACAAAACAAAGGCTTATGACTGAATCTCTCTAGCTCTATAAGGCTACACTCTACAGTTTGCTTTTTCTTACATTTAAGACATTTTTTTTTTATATCCAGCTATCAGCTTATAATGTTAATGGCACCAGTTTTTTCCAGTCATACAAATGTATTATTGTACTTATCTTACAATGCAAATGAAGTTAACATGGACATAAGAGTTTTGTCCAAATGAAACATGTAATTAGTAACTGGAGAAAAACAAAACAAAAACCAAAACAACAAAAAAACAAACAAACAAAAAATAACAACAAAAAAAGCATAGTACAAAAAAAAAAAAAAAAGGAATGTAACAAATAGGAATTATCATGCTAGTAAACAGAGTTCCTAAGTTCTGACCACTGCACATGAGAAATACATTTGCAAGAAGTACGTAAAAAAGTGACAACAAATGGAGTATGGAACAGAGTCCATACATGCAGAAAGAATAAATACACCAAGACAACTCCATTCCTGAGGAAAAAAACAGAGAATGTAATAAGATACATGAAAACATGACTTATGAGAAACTGAAAAGGAAATGATTATTTAACATTTCTAACATCGTGACAATAAAAAGTGCCCCAAATGAAATCATTAGGCAACAAATTTTAAGGCAAAACAAAAAGACTTACTTCCTTACACTCCACATGTATTGAATCATACAAGTTGTGGAAGCTGGGACTACAAATCAGATCAACCAAACACATTCAGTGAGAACACAATGCCCCCTGTGATGAAATGTAATAGTGCAAACATTACTTCATGCTCACAAAACTAAATCAATGATGAGCACCAAACACCAGGAGACTGCATCAAAAGTTGATTACTCAATTTAATTTATACATTACTTTTTTAAGCATCCTGTCCTGGAATTTTGCAAGTGGTCTGACTTTAATAACTGATTTATATTCTTACAGGCTATGTCCACAACATGTCACACAGCTCTTCTGAACAAGATGGGTTTGTCCATTCTATACACTTTGAATGGATATTTGACAGTTACTATTCTACAGTGAACAGCTATTTTTTAATTTACTAGCTGTACTAAACCCAAGCAATGCCATCTGTCATGTACCACAGGGAACAAAATAAAGTCTTCATATGTATTTAATAAAAAAATCCAAACCAAATAAAAAAAAAACCGACCAAAAACCAAAAAACACAAAAGAGAGACACCCGCCCTAATAGTTCCAAAGAGCTTTTGGCAAACCTTACATTATAAAAACATGAAAATGTGTCTTTTTTTTTTTTTTAACAGTGTATAGTAGTGTTTTCTCAGAACTTACTAGGAAAATACTGATATAAAAAAAATTTCTATGCCTTAAGCAAGCACCTTGGGAAGTTTAGAAGTAGCAGTGTTTATCCTGACTGCCCTTTTAAATTGACATCTCACTGAAGTGACAATGATAGCAAACTGCCACTTAACATCAAGAATTTTTGTCGGTACACTTGTGGACAGATGATTTCAAAGTAGAAACACATTCTTAATTCCTACTTTAATCAGGTTAGACAAAACAGAATTATAGAACCATAGAACAGTTAGGGTTGGAAAGGACCTTAAGGTCACCTAGTTGCAACCCCCTGTGCCATGGGCAGGGACATCTCGCTCTAAACCCTGTCACCCAAGACTCTGTCCAACCTGGACTTGAACAATGCCATGAAACATTCACAACTTCCCGAGGCAACCCATTCCAGTGCCTCACCACCCTAACAGGAAAGAATTTCCTCCTTATACCCAATCTAAACTTCTCCTGTTTAACATGTTACCCCTTGTCTTATCACTACAATCCCTAATGAAGAGTCCCTCCCCAGCATCCTTATAGCCCCCCTTCAGATACTGGAAGGTTGCTATGAGGCCTCTATGCAGCCTTCTCTCTCCAGGCTGAACAGCCGCAACTTTCTCGGCCTATCTTCATACAGGAGGTGCTCCAGGTCCCTCATCATTCTCGTGGCCCTCCTCTGGGGCCAACAGTTCTATGCCCTTTTTATCTTGAGGACACCAGAACTGCACAAATACTCCAGGTGAGGTCTCACGAGAGCAGAGTAGAGGGGCAGGATCACCTCCTTTGACCTGCTGGTCACACTCCTTTTCATGCAGCCCAGGATACGGTTGGCTTTCTGGGCTTCGAGCACATACTGTCAGCTCATGTTAAGTTTCTCATCAACCCCCAGTCCTTCTCCACAGGGCTGCTCTGAATCTCTTCTCTGCCCAACCTGTAGCTGTGTCTGGGATTGCTCCGACCCACGTATAGGACCTTGCACTTGGCATGGTTAAACTTCATGAGGTTGGCATCAGCCCACCTCACAAGCGTGTCAAGGTCCCTCTGGATGGCATTCCTTCCCTCCAGCATGTCAACCGAACCGCACAGCTTGGTGTCATCGGCAAACTTGCTGAGGGCGCACTCAATCCCACTGTCCATGTCAGCGATGAAGATGTTAAACAAGACCGGTCCCAACACCCATCCCTGAGGGACACCACTCTCTACTGGTCTCCAGCTGGACACTGAGCCATTGACCACAACTCTTTGTGTGCAGCCATCCACCCAGTTCTTTATCCACCGAGTCATCCATTCATCAAATTGATGTCTCTCCAATTTAGAGACAAGGATGTCATGTGGGACAGTGTCGAACGCTTTACACAAGTCCGGGTAGATGACATCAACTGCTCTACCCCTGTCCATCAGTTCTGTAGCCCCGTCATAAAAGGCCACCAAATTGGTCAGGCAGGATTTCCCCTTAGTGAAGCCCTGATGGCTGTCACCAAGCACCTTGTTGATTTTTATGTGCCCTAGCATGCCTTCCAGGAGAACCTGCTCCAAGATTTTGCCAGGCACAGAGGTGAGACTGACTGGTCTGTAATTCCCTGGTTCATCCATTTTCCCCTTCTTGAAAATGGGGCTTATATTTCCCTTTTTCCAGTCGTTGGGAACTTCACCTGACTGCCATGATTTTTTAGATATGATGGCCAGCATCATAGCAATTTCATTCGCCAGCTCCTTCAGGACCCGTGGATTGATTTCATCAGGTCCCATGGACTTGGGTGATGTGGTCAGAGCATTTGCCAGTGAAGACTGAGGCGAAGAAGTCATTCAGAACCTCAGCCTCCTCCAAATCTCCAATAAATTATTAATGAATAAATTAATCTATCAAAGGCAGCTTTGGAAATTTCCAGAACAGAATTATGAGACAGAACTCTAGAAATTCTTTAAAAGCAAAGTTGAGAATCCAAGTCCTTCATTAGACTGTATGAAGAAAACTGGGAATTGATGGAACATCTGGTGAAGTAAACATGGTTTAGTCACTTTAGAACTGATTTTTCCCATGAAAAAAAAAGACATAAAAAATAATTTTATATATATATAAAATAGAAGACAACTTGTGTTGAAGGCTATTATTTCCTTTCCCTTGCCTTGCAGTGTAGCAATTCTGCTTTTGAGTCTTGGCCTGAAGGAGTTCACACTAACTGAGTTCAAGCCTTCTCTGTGTAGAGAATCTGTGCACTCATGGTTTTTGTAGTTCTTCAGGTTGATCAGCTGTACATGTAGCAGCAGTTATTTTCACTGAACATCTTGTGAGGGATTCACTAACAGCTTTCTCATTAAGCATCATAGCTTTGACTCTCCTGTGAAGTTTACTTCTACCTATGAAAAATCAATCAACAGAGATGCTGAACAGGAACCACTTTAAGGCTGCTACTGCTAAAGTAATAATATCCTTTACCAATATGCTCCACAGTATTTTAAGTGAGGTTTAACATGTACTATAAACAGTATCATGGAAGGACCATTAATAAGTAGCTGTGCTATTCTAAAACAACAGGTGGTGAGATCGTTTCACCACAGTTATGTGCTCACCATATGTGTGTGGAAATTCTGTAGGTGGTAGAAGGCAAATGAGTGAATAGTTAGCAAATATATATATTATATAATATATATAATTACATAGATATATTAAGATGTATATGATCTCATTAAAGCTGCAGCACATTTTACAGGCTAGAAAACAGCTACCAAGATAACTTCTGATATAACTTTGGGTCTGTAGGAATAGTTGCAAGAGCAAAGATGTGACAAAAAAACCACAGCTTAAGTAAGAAACTAATATTATATGTTGGAGTTAGACCTATTTGCCTATTATATCTGATGAATTACTTGGACATTAGTGCAGAAAGGGATGCACAATTGTGCAAAGACCAGCCAGCTGTTTTAAAACACTTCTGGACAAAGGGCAGGCTAAATTTCCCATGAGTCCTGTAAAGCCAAATAACAGTAACATACCCAATTTTAAAATTCACCTTAATAAAGGTTAGAAAAAAACCCACAAACGCTACTGGAGAGAAATACACGCTGGCTGGCACAGAAATTCTTCCACTGCAGCTCTTCTGCCGAGTTGATATTTTATATTTGGTTCACCCACAGAAGA